CATGCCCAGTAGGGGCCATGCAGGAGGAATGATACACTCTCATTATTGATGCTTCTATTTCTCCCTCTCCCTTCCTCTCTGAAATCAATAAATTTTTTTATTTTTTTTTTTAAAAAAATGAATGGGCCTTTTGGCTAGAATGTCACCATGAGAGACAGAGTTGTGGGTTCAATTTCCGGTCAGGACACAGACAAGAAGCATACAATGAATGCATAAATGAGTGGAACGGAAAATCAATGTTTCTCTCCCTCTCTCTCTCTCTCTCAAATCAGAATCAATCAATCAATAAAATTTTTAAGAAAAATGAATGTCCCTTGCCAGTTTGGTTCAGTGGATAGAGTGTCGGCCTGTGGATCAAAGGAACCCAGGTTTGATTCTGGTCAAGGGCATGTATCTCATTTGCAGGCGCCTCCCCAGGCCGGGCCCTGGTCAGAGCACATGCAGGAAGCAACCAATCGATGTCTTTCTCTCACATTGATATTTCTCTCTGTCTTTCCCTCTCTCTTCCACTCTTTCTAAATATTGATGGTAAAAATCCTTGGTGGGAAAAGGAGGAGGACGAGGAGAAGGAGGAGGAGGAGGAGAAGGAGGAGGAGGAAGAGGAGGAGGAGGAGGAGGAAGAGGAGGAGGAGGAGGAGGAGGAGGAAGGCTGACTTCTCCCACTTACCTTCAGTCATAGGTGCAGCAGATGCTGCCCGTGCCCTGCCCATCTCCCCCGTGCACTTGCCATTCTATACACACGGACAGTCTTACTGCCAATAATTGCGACTCTCTGTATGAGGGCATTTTGGGGCCACAGCAGCACGGGTGGCTCTCGTACATGGCCACCCAGAATGACAGGGAATAATGCCCCCAGGACTGTCCTCAGCCAGTGAGAGAGGAGTGGATGAATAAACGCCTGAGCTTCATTGCCTTTGAGCTAAAACAACCTGAGGCTTGTTCTGTCCTGTCTCCCAGAGGCCACAGCAGGGACCAGTGGTCCACAGCAGCTGCCTGCGGTGGCCTTTTATTGTCTTCGTTCCCATTCCGGTCCCTGACTCAGCTCCCATTGCGCTCAGCAGCACTGCAGCAGCTGACCCCCAAACGACCTGCACTCACATCACCTCGTCAGGGTCCGCCTCCTGGGGAAAGCCAACCTCAGACACGGTCCCCGCAACCACTGAAGAGCCAGCACATCCCATGACGCAGTGGGCAGATACGCCTGTCCACTGAGTGACACGCACACTGGGTGGCAGCTAGGAAACACACCCATGGTTTACAGAGCAGGGGGTTGAGCTGTTCTCATCCAGGGGACGCGTTGCCCCCCAGGGGCCACTTGGCAATATCAGGACCACTTTGGTGATCACAACCGGCGTTCAGTGGGCAAGGCCAGGATGCTGCTAGACACGCCACAGCGCACACAACCGCCCCCACAGCAAATGTCAATAGTGACCTGGTCCAGAAACCCTGGCACAGTCAGTGCAGCCCCAGAGTCAGAAGACCTGGCGCTGGGTGCTGCTCTCACTGTGAAGAGAGGATGAGATATTTCCTTCACAAGGTGTTTATGAGTCTTGAGTTGAGGTACTGAGAGTGGGGAGTCAATTACTCCTTCAATCCAGAGCGCCAACCTTGGACCCCATAGTAACCCAGTTGGTGACCAAACAGTCATGGAAATGGTGCACCCATTGCCCTCAGGGAATCCAGGGCTGTGTGTGGAGAAACCATGCAAACACTCAAAGCCTTTCCAATGTGAAGCCTGGCTCTAATAGGGCACGCGGTAGGTGTGCTTTGTAGGAGAGCAGAGAGAAGGAGGCATGCTTCCTAGGAGTCAGGAAGGGATATGTGCGGTGATCGGTGGGGATTGGCAAGTGGCTAAGCAGACAGGGGCCTCTCACAGAGGAAACAGCCTTTTGCAAGGGCACAGAGCCCTGACAGAGGGGGCATGTCTGTGGCACGGTGACTGTTCACAGCATAGCAACATGAAAGAGGAGAGAGAGATGAGGTGGGAAGGAGGCAGGCCCAGGCGGCGGGGGGCCTAGTTGCAGGGCTGGGACAAGGTGGGGCAAGTGAAGCATGTGAGGCACTGACCTCATGGGACTCACACAACCAGGGGAGTGGGTGTCTCCTTCCTGCTGGTGCTCTGGGACCCCCTGTGCCAGGCTAAGAAGCCAGAAAGGCTGGTCTGCCGGCCAGGAGCAGCCGGCAGAAGCCTTGGACTTCTGTCAGTTTTAGCAGGATAACCTGACTCAAACACAGGGCCACTGTGCCACTTCTAATCCAACAGTGTCTAGTTCAGACCAACAAGAAAGCAGAGCTTCGCCTGTCTAATGGGCTTCTCCACCTAAATGGAATATCGTTACAGACTGACTGGCCCTTTTCAACCCAACACTCAGCAGGTTCCCGGGGACAGAAGGTGAAAGCGATCATGGTTGGTGAGAAGCCTGCATGAGTCAGGTTGGAAACTAAGTTCCTGTGTTCAATTGAGAGAACAAGGCAGTGCTTTGAATGAGGGTCAGAGCTCATGCTGACCTCAATAATTAGGGCTTTCTTAAAGTTGGATATTTAGATTATCGAATAGCAAAATATGATTTAGCTATGCCGTCTTATGCTTCGCCTAAGGTGGAGCATGTAGACGGGAAGAAAGAGAGTCAGGGAAAGATGTTTAAAAGAGTTAAGAAACTAAACTGCTTTCAAGCCCCCTTGAGGTACTCCACAAGTGCACATTTGCTCCAAGACAATTGATATGCCGGAAGAAAATTATTCTTATCTATTCCCAAGTGAAGGTCATCTTTAAGGAACTCTTAGTCGAGGAGTTTTTAATCCTATTTCAATAAACTGTATCTACTATGTATATAATTATCATCATTGCTATTGATTGAAAATGCACATTTATTTTATAATAGTGTGTAATTCAGGAGTTGCACCAAATTGCCTGGGATTCTTCTCATTTGTGAGACTTCACTACACATATCATTTTCTCATTCTGTCTACATATAAGCATCAAGAGGTTCTTTAAAAAAGCTGCCCCAAAAGGCTGGCAGATTTCAAAGTAACAGAGGTAACGCAAAAACAATGTCCCAATAATTCTCTAAGACTCCACATCACCCAAACCCACCACCGGGACTGCAACTCCGGTGTGCACTTACAGCAGCGGTTCTCAACCTGTGGGTCGCGACCCCTTTGGGGGTCGAACGACCCTTTCACAGGGGTCGCCTAAATACATCCTGCATATCAGATATTTACATTAGGATTCGTAACAGTAGCAACATTACAGTTATGAAGTAGCAATGAAAATAATTTTATGCTTAGCAGTCACCACAACATGAGGAACTGTATTCAAGGGTCGCGGCATTAGGAAGGTTGAGAACCACTGACTTACAGCAATCAATTAAATTACCTGCCATCACTGAGCAACAGTTCGCCACCCTCTCCGATGCAAAGCAAGAAATAAAAGAAATAGTTTAGCCGAAACCGGTTTGGCTCAGTGGATAGAGCGGTGGCCTGCGGACTGAAGGGTCCCAGGTTCGATTCCGGTCAAGGGCATGTACCTGGGTTGCGGGCACATCCCCAGTGGGAGATGTGCAGGAGGCAGCTGGTCGATGTTTCTCTCTCATCGATGTTTCCAACTCTCTATCTCTCTCCCTTCCTCTCTGTGAAAAATCAATAAAATATATTTTAAAAAAAAACAAACAATTTAATCCTGAGCTGTAATTCATAGACAATATAATTTACCTGCCACATGCGTTTAAAAAAATTACAAGCCCTGGAATTACAAGCCCTGGCTGATTCCCCTCAGTGGATAGAGCGTCCGCCTACGGACTAAAAGGTCCCGGATTCCATTCCGCTCAAGGGCACATACCCGGGTTGCGGGCTCGATCCCCAGAGGGGGCGTGCAGGAGGCAGCTGACCCATGATTCTCATCATTGATGTTTCTATCACTCTCTCCCTCCCCCCCTCTCTGAAATCAATAACAATACATTTAAAAAATTACAAAACGTCCTTACGTATGTAATACATGGGGAGCTAAGAGGTAAGTACTTGTGTATAAGAACGCCTGCGAGGCGCACATCTGTATGAAACCATTGGGCGGGAGACGGCTGGAAGATTCAATGACTTCCAATGCTTCCCCAAAGCCTCCACGTAGGGAGGCGCCACACATGCGGACCCCTCGGCGTGTGTGCAAACTGGGGACACCACGAGCAGCCCTGCCACTGGCGACAAGCGATTCTGAGAACAGTGACCGATCCGTGACGAAGCGCTTATCAAGAACAGCAGTGCACCTCCCGCGACTTTGCCAACAACTGCGCTCCCGCGAAACTCCGTGTGTTTAAGTGAATTTAAGCCGCACCCCAAAAGTGTGTGTTTGTGTGTTGGTCGCGTCTGCTTTGGTGTGCCTGCTTTTCAGTGTAAACGCACAACCAAGGGTGGCGCCTGGCCTAGGGGTCCAGGGGAAAGTGAGGGCACCACAACAGGAAGTGCGGGTTCGGGCCTGGAGCCCCCTGGCGGCGGCCGCAGCGACACTGGGCTGAGGCGGCAAAGCTGCAGGGCCGCAGAGGGTGGGCGCGAAAGCCCCCCAGCCGGTGCACGCATGCGCACACTTGGCCCCCAGCCTTGGCGCCAAAAGGAGAGCAGGCGCCCCCCCCCCACTTCCGGCCCAGGCTGCAACCTCGAGGCGAGGCGAGGCGAGGCGAGGCGAGGCGGCGGCTCTACGCGGCTTGTGCACGGACAGGCGACAGGCGGCTCTCCCGGCGTGAGTACTGTCCCTGCCGCTTGTGGACGAGATGGGTCGGGCGCGCTGAGGCGGGCATGGCCTTGTGGGCGGCGGGCATGGCCTTGTGGGCGGCGGGCATGGCCTTGTGGGAGGCGGGTGCCTGGTGGCCGTTGTGAGGTGAAGCGGGTCGCCGCTCTGTCGCGTCGCGGCGTTTGCAGAAACGATACATCGATGTTGCAGACGGGTTAGGCAGCCGTGCGACAGCGCACTTACGTTTTCTCTACTTTTAGGGCCCCCGCTTTATGTCACAATGCGAAGAGCTTTAGAACGCGCTCTGGACCATGCAGAGTGTGGCACTGAAAGCGCCCAACAGAGACCTCCTAAGAGGAAAGCCTCATTCGCTGAGGAAAAATCTCTGCATGAAAAGCTGTATGACATGTATGTTGAGGAGTTCGGGAAGGAGCCCGAAGGTACGGAGGAATTAACGCGCAATGTGAACTTGCTGGAGAAGCTTGTTCGGCGGGAGTCCTTGCCCCGTTTAGTGGTCAGCCTATACCCAGGCGAGGAGTATTCGCTCTTGCTGAAGGTAGAAACGGAAGTTTATTCAGAGTTTGTTGTACTGCCCTATGAGGACAGGGACTTTCTTGAATACTTGGATGCAGAGCAACTGTGTCCTGATTTGGTAGATGTCCTGGAAAGGTCTCGGGTTAACGTTTTTCAGAGCGGGTGTGTCATCACAGAAGTGCGGGACTTTAGACAGTGCACTAACGCGGACCGCTGTCGTTACGAAAGGAGGCATGTTCTCTTACGCCCCGCGATGCAGACGTTAGCTTCCGATACAGAGTCCATAACCACCAATAACCAGACACGGGCCCAGGAAGACAGACTTTCACTTGAGAGCCAGCCGATCTTAGCTGCAGCTGAGCCCCTGTGTCCTGATCCTTCTGTATCAGTAGCCTGCAGTGAAAACAAGCTGGTCTGTAATGAGCAAAAGAAGAACACTCCTGCCATGGAAAGGAACTTACAGGAGGACTATTCTGCAGCCTCCCTGCATCCACAGCAGGAGCTGCCTTGCAGTCCACCCCCTCCTGAGCTAAGGGCATGGGCTCCTGACCAACAAAGCCAAGAAAGCCAAGCAGATCAGCAGGATGACCGTGAAATTTTCACAGAAAATTGTGTAGATATGTGGAAACACCTAGCCCTTGACTTGGAGGTCCCTTTTGATTTGGATATGGAAAAATTCGCTGAACATTGGCCTTTCCAATATGATGATGAGGATGAGGATGAGGATGAGGATGATGATGATGATGATGATGCAAATTCACTAATCTGGCCAGACTCTGAGGCAGATGATTCTCTATTTGGATGTGAAGCTGGCGATTCATCCCAGACAACAAAGCCACCCATCATGCAGTCTCTGAATGATCCATTTATCTCTGGAGAAAGGTCACCTGAAAAAGTCAGATGTGGGAGACGGACACCTCGCCCCTACTGCTACACAGATGACCATTCCTATTGTTTAAGGCCTGGGTCAAAGACTCGTGCTAGGAAAGCCACCAGGGAGTCCAAGAAATTGGTGAAGAGGGACAAATGTGCAGTCAGGGTGGCAGAGCCCTCCAGTGTCTCCCCTAGTCTCATCCAGCTTTCTCCAGGGAGAGCAGCAGAACAGCCTTCGGCCGTGACAGTTCAGTCTGCAGCACAGGACCAGGGAGGCCAACACGCACCGCCAGTCATCCGCATTCCCTGCAGCTCAGGAAACAGCTCCTTGGGTAAGCCTTTTACTTCACAGCAGGCAGGCCACATTCGCATTCCGCAGCTTCCATCTCCTGCCCCTGCTTGGGAGCCACCAAGTCTTCCCCAGAAACCTGCTGTGCAGGTGAAGCGAGTCCGCACACTTCCTACAGCCACCGTGACTTCTGCCAGCACATCACAAGCAACCCCGGTCATCCAGGTCAAGGCCTCCTCTGATGACTCCAAGGTCGTTCAACTGCTGGGCCCTGTCCGCGTCATCCGGACTGTGGTGAGAGGATGCAACCCCATTCGGGGCTCTCCCTGTAGGGCCAGGGCTCCTTCAGGAGTGAAGCCCAGCAGCCTGCCCTCAGGAGGCCAGCCAAAGAATGCAGGGCCGGCTGCACCTCAGGCTCCTGTAGGTGGTGTTCAGTATGCGGTAGGAAACCTTTCAAGTCTCAGGCCGGTAAAGGTTCTCTGGGTCCCACAGGGGTCGGATATTTCGGCCATCCTGCAGCAGGCCCAGCAGCAGCAGCAGGTGCTTTACCCATTGATTCCACAGCCGCTGCAGCAGCAGCCCCCCACTTCTCATCTTCCGCAGCCCGTGGTGCAGGTTTCCAGTGTGCAGGGTTCCAGCCGGCCACAAAGAGGCCTGTCTGCTCCTCAAGCTGCTGTCACTAACCTCAATGGAGTAGGAAGTGTTCTGCAGTCCCAGAGAGTTGAGTTGTCTCAGCCTGCACAAAGGCCTTCCCAGCTGCGGGTCCAGCTCCCAGCTGCCTTCCAGAAGCTGCCACAGTCCCAGTGGAGAATCGTGCATCTCCCACAGACTGTGGCAACAGCATCAGTCCAACCAGCTCAGCCAGCTGGGGGCCGGCAGACAGCAGGCCAGCCCAAAGGCCCAGAGAATGGAGGCCTGCCCAGCACTCCCAAATGCTGAGTCCTGCCCTGTGTTCTCTCTTTTGAAAAACAAAAGAGCATCTACCAAAGTGAGTTCTGAGTTTTTGCTTCATTCTGGGGTATTTTAATGTGTCAGTATTTTCAATTTAAGAAGTGCAAAGTTTGCACACTGAGGCACAACCCCGTAGTTTTTACATAGAAGTGGGAGTGATTTAATAACCTGGGATTGTTTTGCTTGCATTATTGTTTGGTCGCTGCTGTTGTCATAGTGATTTCTCTTTTAATGTTCTAAAGTGTATCAAATTCACACTTGGCTCAGTTTAACCTCCTGAAGCCTGTGGTTTTTCTGAATCAATTAACTTTACAATACTGATGAAGTTATATTAATTTACCAAGATGAGTGTGTTTTTAAATGTTTGCTGAGTGAAGAAGCACTGTACCACTTAAACTGTACCATCTTGAGCCCTTGAAAGTTGTGTGTTGTGCAACAGGTCCCTAGAATTGTTTCATCTTGTCAAAGTGAACCTGGATCCTCCCTGAGCCCCAGCGGCCCATTTCCTGGCAGCCAGCTTGTCCGTTTGTGTTTCCCTGAGTCCGGCAGCTTTAGACACTTCCCGTGCGTGCAGTCACACAGTAAGTGTCTTCTGGCTGGCTTCTTGCATTTAGTATGATGTCCATCCATATTGTAGCAGGCGACAGGAAGGTCACAGCCTTTCACATGGTTTCACTGTACATAATATATATGGAAGGGGCCTATGAAATGTTAGCAACATCTTTCTGAAGAATGTACTTTAGTATTTGCTTATTTAGTTCAAGTGGTTTTGGCGCCTCAGTGTTTACAAATGTGGTTATTAAAAGTGTTAAAAGTACTAAAAGTGATGTCTGTCACCCTATGTGGAGGACATGGGAGACCTCCCAATGTGCAGAAAGGGCTAGGGCATAGCTGCGGGCAGAGGCGGTGTCAGAGGCCTTTCAAAGACTGTGCCCTAGGCGCCCACCACAGAGCCCAGCTCTCTTCCTCCAGGCTGCAACCAAGGCTGGGAAAAGGCATTTCTGGGATGTCGTGTTTCCTCCCTTTATAAAATCATTTCTAGTTTTCAGAGTGTAGTGTCTTTAGCAGAAATGTACATAACGAACCATTTGGAAGTGAGTTTTATTTGTTTGCCTTTCAAGTTTTTTAAAAAATATGTTTTTATTGATTTTAGAGAGAGAGGAAAGGAGAGAGAGATAGAAACATCCATGAGAGGCACAACTGAATGCCTCCTGTATGGCCCCCCACTGGGGATCCAGCCCGCAACCCGGGTATGTGCCCTGACTGGGAATCGACCTGGTGAATTCTTGATTCATGGCGAGGCGCCTAACCACTGAGCCACACGGGCTCAGCTGCCTTTCAAGTTTTTGTGGCCTTGTTAGAGTTTGAAGTGGAACCTGGCCCCCTTCTCTTTCTTTTCCCTCTCCTGGCTCACGGAGCAATTGTTCCCCAGTCCTGCTCCCTCAGCTCTTTTCTGCCTCTGGGGTCTTTCAATGGCCTCAAAAGATGCCTGAACGTTTCTGTTGTCTTTTTTCCTTTCTTTTTATTGAGATGTAATTCGCATAAGAAACAACTCGTGTGAAGTGTATAATTCCGTGGCATTCACTAATGTAGTGTTTGCTGCCGCCATCCCTCTTTGGAAAACATTGCATCACCCAAAAGATCTCTGTAGCCCCTGAGCACTAGGTTCCCATCCTCCCCTCCCCAGCCCCAGAAACCACCAGTTGGCCTTGTGTCTGGATGGACTTCCCCGTTCTAGGTATTTCCAATGAATGGAGTTACACTGTGTGGCCTTTTGTACCTGCCTCTTTTCCTTGGCATAATGTTTTTGAGGTTCATCCATGTTGTCACATGTTTTAGTGTGTGATTCCTTTTCATGTCTGAGTGAGGTCTGGTTCTCTGAATTTGCCACATCCATTTATCCATTCTCCACTGATGGGCATTTGGGTTGCTTCCGCCTATGAGCTATGGTGTATACTGTCACTTTGAACATTGTCCACAGGTTGTGTGTATCTCTAATATTTTGCTTTGTTACAACTTGAAGGGCAACCTGTCCACATAAAATTTGCTTTTCTAAGTACACATGTATGTCCCTGTGCCTTTTGCCCTAACAAAAAGAAGGAAATTTGGTCTGTCAGTTCCAAAAGAGATGAGTGAAGGGGCAGGTAACCGCTGAGTCTTATTGGTGAAGTCAGCTGTACTAATGTGCTACGGATCCCGTGAAGGAGAGATTTTTGACTGACTTCCAACAAACACCTCAGCTATGTCATCTGAGTGATACTGTGCCCGTTCAAGCTTCTGCAGCCCATCCTGGACATCTTCGGCCGTAGTACCCACACTTTGAAGAAGTGAACCAGTGCGATGACCAATTACAAAGAAGAGTTTATGCTCAGCCTTGAGAACCAACCAGAGACCTGAACTCAGACTCTCCCCAGATTTGATGTACTTCTTCCCTTTTGCTGCTTGTTTTAGCCCTCCCTTCCCAGTCAACAAATAAAGTTAGTTTTGTTTCAGATAACCTTTTGTGGCCTTTGTTCATATCTTCTCATGGTTCCCACCAATGTTGGTAATATGATGCAACTGCCATAGCAATGTTGAGGAAAGCATATCACCCTTGAAGTAAAATCCCAGAAAATGTACTGATTCAAACAATATGTAGGGTGGAGTCCCATGTCCCTGGTATTGTGTTAGGCCCTAGGTGGGATGGGGAAAATACCTCTTTAGAATATAGATCATGTAATTTTACACTTCAGCAGTTTTAGCTGGATTCCCACTATGATGAAGTCTCAATGGAATAATGAATGTTACACATACAAAGATGAGTACACCGTAGAGAGGATGGGAAATAGCAGAGGGCTCAAGATTTTAGTGTCTGTCACCCTGCTGCAAGTCAGAGGGCAGAACACAGACGAAGGAGATAATGGGAAGAAGATTCCACCCAGAAAAGTATTGTCCACCCCATGAAATCCAGGTATGTGTATCTGCATAGAGAATTTGTATTTATTTATAGATGATAAGTTTAAAAATCTATTATTTCATTCTAGATTTCTGTCTTGAAAAATTTGAAAGGAATCACCCAATTCTCCTAAGAAATTTTTGTTTAATCTTAAAAGTAACAGAAATATCTTAGGTTCCTTGCTAGACAGATTGTCCCCAGGGTCCCATTCCCACTTCTCCCATCTTCTAACTGACACCAATATTGTCTTTGTTTTTTGCTGTGTGTTGCCTCCTGGAAGCACCGTGACCACATGTTCATGAGAGAAAGCTGAATTTATTCTTACTGGTAAGGGAGAGGGCAACCCTCACAGAGGCTTAATAACATTTCAGTTAGTTATGTATCTTTTTCCATAAAATCTAATAAGACAATCCATCTCCAGGACTTCAGCATTTTATCTGCAGGGAAAATACACATAGCTGCTTTAACTGCATTTTGAAAAATACCTAGGCTCCATGGACATAGACAATAGGGTGGTGAAGGCCTGGGGTGGAGGGTGGAGGGTAGAGGGTGGAGTGGGCTGGAGGGGGTCAATGGGGGGAAAAAGGGGGACATATGTGTAAAAAAAAAAAAAGGAAAAATACCTAGGCTATAAAATACAGGATCTCTCCCCCCTCCCCCAATGCGCAGTTCTCACTACATACTAGGCACTGTTCTGTTTGATGTTTTAACCCATTCAGCCCTTGCTAAGACCATGTAAGGAAGTTGCGATTATGGATGAGAAAACGGCATTGGCACTTTAAGTAATTTGCTCTGGGTCACCCATTATGAAGTATCAGAGCCTAGATTTGGACCCAAGCCTCCTGGAGGCAGAGACTGTGTCTTTTACCACACTGCCCTCTCCCCTGCCTCATGGAGGGCAAGACATAGAGCCATCCCTAGTGGGCCCACCATATGCCTGGAAAGACCCCAAGATACATGTTTGAAATGACAGATTACAGTCTGTCATTTAGTCATAGGCTGCTGTTTGAGGGGACCTAGCAACTGACATCTCTGCTGTAGTTTGGAACCACTTGAAAAAGATTCAGGAGTCAGACAGCTAGACATCAATATATTCTCCTTATATGTGATGCTCATACATCCGAGGACATAATTTAGATCTGGACTGGACCAGGTAGGTTTCCTAATATTGGACCCTCTTATTAGGGAGCTTCTTCCACTCTCTCACAGGCAGGGCTGGAGAATTGCAGAGCCTTCCCCATGGGTCTGGCCCTCTCACTGGGGAGAATTGAGTGGGCAGAGCAAGGCCAATTTTACTCTAATGAAGAGCTACTTACTCCCTAGGCAATAGGCAACAGGCCTCTTTGGCATTTGGTGAAGACTATGGATCTGTTCTCAGAATAATCTTTTGGTGTGCATAAAATAAAATATACGGCATTACAAAGAAAGCTAATTACACTAAAATATAACCCTGGAATTCTAAATAAATAAATATATGATAAACTAGGCGCCCAGCGCACAATTCAAAATTGCGCGGCGCCGCCCACCCTCAAGTCAGCGTTCTGGCCCTGCCTCACTTCCCGGACCCTGGCTGCAACTGATCAGGTCCTCCCGCAGCGCATGCGCACGTAGGCCCCTGCTGCCCCGCCCCCGACGGTGAGCGGGCATCTTCCTCCTGTCCAGTGGACCCATTATTGGGTCAAGGTTAATTAACATATCTCTCTATTTTATTTTTATAGATAGATAGATAGATAATATATGTGCTTTTTGTTACTGCGTTAAATAATAAGACTTAGTGGCAGGGCTAATAACTGTTATAAATTCAAAGTAGTGATGAGCATGAATGATGTTTTGAGATATCTGCAACCAGGGAAATGTCTTGAAAACATCTGTGACTTCTATTTGATACAGATTCACAGACATTGCTACTATTACAGTGGTTGGTTATCCATATTCATATTTGCAGGAAATATTACATTTTAGTTAGAGGTCAGAAAAAATAAAGATATAAGGTTTTTTTCTTATTAAGTCCATGAGTCTCCTAAAAGTGACCATGGAACTCAGGTTAAGAGTA